TGTAGAGTTTGTTTCTTCATCTGAAGAAATGTTGCATTACATCACTTGCTCACCAATGGATCCTTTGCAGTGAATGGGTGCCGTCAGAATGAGAGTACAAACAGCTGATAAAAACGTGTTTTTATGGATTCTGGACAGGTTTTTGGCCAGAAGCAATGGTTTAAAGTTAAAATTCGCTGAGGGAATACATCAACTTTCACCGTGGATGAAGCGGAGTCCAGCCCGGGGTCGTCACATGTGGTTGCCGCTCATTCGTCGCATCCACCGGGCGCGCCGTTCTCAACCCCGCATAAACACATTTCATTACTCCAAATACACAAAATAATGTTCTTTTTAGCAGCATCATATGACCCCTTTAAAGAAAACACTGACTATCAATTTGAAATAGTCACACTGTAAAGTATATTTGAAATAATCAAGGAGGTCTTTAATTGCAATAGATAGATGTTTTTAAGCCCATCATCTGAGCCATAAATGCCATGTGATTGATCAGCCGCAGGAAAATGATGTAATGACAATGCTGATCGACTGATGCCACAGTCCCAAGCTATTTACTAATGACTGTCCTGTCGGTACATGAGCTGTGATGCCAAAGGCAGCAGACAGGGATAAATATAAGCCCATTTCATGCTTTTAAGATCATTCCAAAGAAAATGGGCACTGACAAAATATCTACTATAATATAATTAAATATTTACATAATACACTGCCATTTTTGAACGTCAATAAGAAGAGATGCTTTTTGGCAGGAGAATGGTGTAGTTATAACATCTACCAGAGGGGACTAACTGGAGCATACCAAGGAGTCAAAATCTGACCCTTTGAAAATATGAAATATGAATCATATAAATATAATGGACATCAAGATTGTGAAATAAAATGTTTTTTTTTTTTTAAGTTCAATATAGCATGTACATTTATTGTTCTGTTTACAGTGTCATTAATATCTAATTAGTACTGAGCAAGCTGGCCTGCCCAATAGTGTGAACTATGTTAGTACATAAGTCATTTACATATCAAAGTCTTAAAGGCATAGTAACAAAAATAGACTGAAAGGGTGAAAAATGGTGTAAAACTACATAATGACTGCTTTTGGTGTAAGAAACCTTGACTAATGGACTAAATGTGAAATATGGTCCATTTAATGTGTTTCCAGGAGAGCGTACAGGTGCATGCATCAAATCAAGTGTATAAACGTACTTTTCAGATTTGAATCTGCACATTCATGAAAACCTTTCAGATGAGAATCACTACAGCAATCCTGCAAAAGGTTTAAGGAAAATCCTTTAAAAAGGAAGCTATTAATATCCTCCTGCCATTCCTCGGATTCATTTAGACAGCCTCATCATCCTCATATCTGTCAAAAGTCACACAGGAGATGTCAGTGACTCACTGATGATTTAATGAATGCAGTGCTTTTTCGTAAAATAGGCTGCCATGTTTCAGGTTAGTTTAACACTGCTTTTGTGCCTGAAGCAAAAGTGCCTGTGTTATCAATGCTCTCTGGATTTAAACTGCCTCAAACTTTATCAGCAAACTAAGAGGAAGAAATTAGCTCTGAAATGCTGGGGCTTATAGGGGTATTATGCAGTCAGAATAAAAAAGGTTCAGCCAGCAAAAAATGGAAATATTGGCAAATAAAAATGCAAATAGGTGAGGGTTATTTTTCAGTCATCTATACATTGATGAATTAAATTATGCTGGTTTTGTGTTTACTGGGGTATTTACTGTTGAAATGCACTGTGACAGCATCTCTATAACACAGATCTGTATGTACAATTTTTCTATGTGTGTAACATAATCATTTTAACACAATTATGGCCCCAAAGAGGTACTGAAGGATTTTTATGGGCTTTCTAAAGGTGTTTGAGTTGTGAATGTCTCCAACTCTGAACTACCTTCCCTCTGTCCCTAACAAGCCTCCAGATAGTCAGTCCCTATTGCTTTTGTTCCATTTTATCACAGCCCCTCTCCTTTTTAGCAACTAATCAGTAACAAAACAGTCTCTCTCTCTTGTTCTATGTGAGAGAGGTGTGTTCCCAGAGTACTGCGGGCGTGGTAGAGTGCTTTATGGTGGTAATGTATTTCCACTCAGCATTGCCATAGTTCATTTTTACGAGCAGGAGCAGGGCATTGTAAACCAGGCAGAGATAGCGCTGTGAAATATTCCTCCCTGTGTCCACAGCATGACCGCTGCTCTTGTAATTTCGACTGCATTCTACCAAAATAAAACAAGGAAATGAGTGTGTGTGTGTGTGTGTGTGTGTGTATGTATATATATATATATATATATACACACACACAACGTAAAAGAAATCTGGTCTGGTTTTCAACTAAATTTATACGTGATTCATTGAATCATTCATTCGACCAGTTTGTTCAAATAAACACTTGCTGTGTTTGAAGACGCTTCCTATAACTTTATTTAGTGTACTATTTGAGGGAACAGCCATTTGTAGTGGTGTCCAAATCCATATTGAACATTATCAAGTGCTCTCATTTAGTCCCATTCTAAGGTGATGATAAAAAGCTCCCCTTTAAAAAATGACAGGTGTTGAAAAGGCTAAACATGATGCATATCTGTGATTTACCTCATGGCCACGTTTATAACATGAAACTAAAAGTCTACCATACTGTGGCATCGCACACCAACAAATATGCTGTTCACGTGTTTAGAGGTGAAAATGATTTTGTCCTTTTTTCCATCACCTTTTCATTCTATCTGCACAAATCATTTCTTATTAATTTTCTCACAGTGTCCCCATCAGGAGACTAATAACCTACATTTTACATAATTAGACCTTCAACCTTTTACTCGCTCTCCCGTTCCCTCCCTTTTCCTTTCATCCTTTCCTTCCCTTCGCATCACCTCCTGGACTCTGTCTCACTCCTGTTCTCTGGATGTTAGTGGGTTAGTGTTATGTCCTAACACTGTTCCTTGCACCCTTGTCCCAATATAGCAACACTGTGGCCGGACCCCTCACTGTCACCCTTCCCTCTGGTCTTCCTCTTTTAATGTCAGTCTGACTTTTAGAAATCATTCTAATATTCTGATTTGCTGCTCAAAAAACATTTATTATTATTATTATTATTATTATTAATAATATTTAAAACAGTTGAGTACATTTTTTTCAGGATTGAAAATGTTTTTTGAGTTTCGGGTGACATGAGTGTGATTTTTTTTTACTTGTATTAAAATTGTGCTTAACTTTTGGGGGTTAGTAAGATTTATAAAAAAAAATTTTTGCTTAATTTTGCTGCCCCAAAATTGAATGGTAATGGTTTTATATATGTTCAGTATGTTTGTATATTATATGAGACATATAATTTATGAGTGACATACATTTTATTTACATTAATTGTGCATATGAAATTAGAATTTATAATTATTTTTGTTATTTATTTATTTATTTGGGAAAGTGGCTAATTCTGAGTTTGAATGAACATGAACATGACTGTTCTGTCTGCATAAGGAGATTAAGCACCGTTAAATGCTGTTTAATGCTTTATGTTGCTCTTTTCAGGAATGCTGAACTTCCTGTCTTATTCTCAGTGGTTCACTGGAGCTGTCCTTCAGGCCTCAGGGTCCTTACGTATGAACAACATGGCTGCCAAGACACCCGTCTGTCGAAACACTTTTATAGAGCGAGACTGGCAGTGTTACAGGCTGAGGCTGATTATTGATCACTGATCAGATTTCAACGCTTGTCTGCACTGGATGTGCTACTGGCCGACCGAGGATGAGCGAGCTGCTGGCCAGCATCTCCCTCTCTTTCTCTCTCTGTCCTCTTTCTTCACCCGCCCATCATCTGTCTCTCTTTTACTCTCTAGAGAGGGGTAACCCCATTTACACCTGGTCTTTTCACGATCGGATAGCTATCTGATCAGAGAAAATGCATGAAGTGACCAGGAGTAAACAAGCCCTGAGAGTCAAGTCAAGTCGCCTTTGTTTCTATAGCGAGTCATACAATACAGATTGTGTCAAAGAAGCTTCACTGAGATTAACAGGAGAATAGTAGAATCAATTCAGATTCAGCTGTAAAGCAGCTCAAAGACAATAGTGTCATTATTTAGCTCAAGTCAGTTCACTGTTGGTTTACATCCATAAGAGTGTGAATTTCATCAACTTTAAAACTTAATCAATTAAAAAAAAAAAAAAAAAATATATATATATATATATAGTATTGTTTCAGTGGTAACATTAAATGTAACACCAGTACTGTATAATAATTATATTTATTTAAAATATATCTAAAAACATTTATTGTTTTTGAAATTTTAATTAGAATTTCACTACTGAACACTATAACATTATCTTATACTGTAATACTAATTTAACAAATTGTATAAAATTAGAATGTGGAGAGACATTGAGCTTGCAGAAAGTGTGGAAGAGCAGGTGGTGGGAATCTGGTTGACATGGAGAATGTAGGGTGTGTGTGTGTGTG